CGAAACGTTGTGTTCTCTTTCTTCTTTTTTTCAGCATGGAATAAACCTATTATTTGTTCCTTTGCAGCCTACGCATGCTGACGCAGCTCCCCACCTGAACTACTATCTAGAAAATATACTGCTTTCCCTTAAATATGGCAGTGTTGTGAAGAATGATAAAAATATTATAACACTCCTGCTGGTGTGTCAGGGCTGCAAGTGTCTGTTACAGAGAGGTAGCCCTGGCTAGACAGGATCAGCCGGGTTAGTGAAGATAGAACTATGTTGTCTATTTAAATATTTCAGTGCCTGGAGATGGGCCACAGTGTTGCCTAGTTTAATACTTCAGTGCCTGGAGATTGTTGAAGATGGAGAGCGAGAGGCTGTGTGTGCTGACTGGAACAGTGGGCAGTGCAGTGAGTCAGAATGAGTGGTGTGTGAGTGGAAGACAGGGAGAAGGAAGAGCTCCGATCCTGGAAGGAGTCAGAAATAGTACAGAAGAGTGGAATAAGACTGAGGTGTCACACCGGCCACAGTGTCGGATGTATGAATATTGTGGTGGAGAGTGTGCTGATTATGCAGAGAGTTCATTCCGAGCTCAGGCTGGGAATGACATTGTTTCTTCGGAAGCTGGGCTACAGCAGAGTGTCCTTCTGTCTGGAAGGTGATGGAGGAGATCAGCAGCCAGGAGAGGAACATCGCTGCTCTGAAGCAGGCCATCGCTGAGAAGGAGGGCCCCCTGAAGCTGGCCCAGACACGGCTGCAGGCCCGCTCACAGCGACCCAACGTGGAGCTCTGCCACGACCCGGCCCAGGCCCGGCTCCTGCACGAGGTCCAGGAGATCACTGGGACCATTGAGAGGTGAGGGGAGCTCCTCGGGAAAGCTGATGAGACGGCACCACGAGCCACGTTTGATTTGTTTCTGTGCGCATCCCGTCGAATCAAGCCAGTGCTCTGAAAGGCTGGATTTCTGATGGTATTTTCCCAGTCAAGGGACAGAAAGACAAGCTAGAATGATGAGAGTCCGGGACCTGTTTTGATCACTGGACAATCCAGAGGAAAGCTTTCAGACACAGACCTTTTCCAAAATACATCATTGACGAGTTTGTTATCGTCTTGTTCCAGACAAGTGTCTCGAGTCCAGACTAGCTTTGCGTGGACATAAAAGTGCAATATTTAAAGTTTTTAGAATTTATCGAAAGCATCCAAAATCCAGGCAAATCTGAAAACCTTTCCTTTCACAAGGATTCAGGGATGAATAACCATTGAAAAGCAAAAAACTGGATGCCCTAAGTGTGACTTCCACATGATTGCTCTGCTATTTGTTTGGCTTTGAAGCGCATGGAAGCCTATGGGAACCGTGCTGCCTCTGCTGGCCAGCTCCTGCTCGAATGTCCCCCTCTTTCCCTCCTCAGGCTCAGCGAGACCCTGGCGCTGGCGGAGGCCGAGATGAGGGCGCTCACCCGCAGTCAGCTGTCCCTGGAAGAGGAGATCGAGGTGAAGGCGTGGACGGTGTACATCGACGAGGTGGTGTGCTCACAGCTCCGCCAGCCTATCGCCTTCCACCACTTCTGACGGGGCTGGGGTCACCCCTGGGGTCATTTCTGGGGTCACCTGCACCGACTGCAACAGGGCTCCAGTTCACCGCCTTTAGTCCCACCCCCAACACCTCTCTGAATCTGAAACATAGCTTGTGCATTGCTCATAACATTCAGCATGCCCTAATTTGTAATATGGCATGGAGAGAAGTGTGTATTTTAGTATAAAATCTGTCTTTAAAATCAGGACCAGTCAGGTCATTGCGCACTGAAGCTGAAACCCTGACACTCCACACTCCCCCTTTTCAGCTGCAAAGACTTTAATGTGCATTGAAACTGCCAGTGGTAGGCTTTGGATATAATGAGAACAAAAAGTGTTTTATGTCTTGGATTGTAAATTTTAAAAGAGTCCAGCAGACAAAACAAAAATAAACTTGCTTCTTCTGACTCAAGAAATCCAGATCACGTGTGTTACAGTACATGCTTGTGGAGAATCCCTCGATTACAGTCTGAGAAGGGGAAACACCGATCATGACTGTTGTTTGCTATATCTTTTCTCCAAAGAAACATTTTCTAAAGAAAATGTAATCGCAATCATATGTCAATTCATTGTTCCTTTTTAGTAAAAAATAATTCTGGTCTATTTTCCCCAAACCAGGCTGTGTGAGATCACTGTGCAGGACTGAGGTTTTTTTTATCATACCGGTAAGCTGAAACTTAATGTCATAATGGCGTAAATATAGCCTTATAAATAAAATCAGTATATTTTCAGGACCAGAAACAAAAATTTGAGAATTAACTGGTTTTGCCGGCCATGTGAATCTATTCTGTTCAGAAACTATTTCCTCTCCTTTGCTTAATCACAATAGTACCACTTAAACCAGAGTACCTGGGCCTGTATAAAGCAGCCTGTTGGTGACCTTTAGTCACCAAATTACCCTGTTTCATACTGAGGAACAGTGGGACCCCTGTTGCATCACCAACCTCTGCCACCCCCAAAAGTGACTGATGTACAATAGATATGAAAATAAAATCTTTTGGTGCTAAAATCATTCTCAATGGGTCCTCATTTACACCTTTTATTTACTTATTCTATTCAACATCCTTCCAGTGTGCCAGTCGACCAGCTCAGCGCCACAGTGGTCTCGCTGGCACATGAAGGAAGAGGGCTGTGCATGTTCCCAGAGGTTTATCGGTTTATCTTCTGGGATGAAGAGTGGGGAGCTCATCTTTTTTTCGGTTTTATTTGCTGTTGCCAGAGGTGGCAGTGAAGGTACGGGCCAGGCTCAGTGTGTTTGGATAGAGGCTCAGGCAGCTGCTGCGAAACCCTTCACAGCATCGGGTACGAGATGACAAAGTAGCTCAGCTCCTTCTCTATCAGCTCCTTGTACTTGGTGAAGAACTCCTCCAGCAGGTGGTCTTCCTCATGAGTGTCGTACCTGTTGGTATAAATCCGTATCTGCCAGCACACAAGAAAAACGAGTTAATGGGATTGAAGTGCATGCCACATCTGACGTGGAGATGCGCAGATTCATTTCGTGTAACTCTTGCGTGTTGCTGATCGCCACAGGCATGCTCTTTCCACATAACCTACAGCGTAAAGGCAGAACCTGGATGGGAATATTGGAGTTTTGAACTGGTATCTCCATGTTTATTCGCAAAAATAGTTTTTTCTACAGCTCCTCATCTGGGAAAAGAAGGGAAAACGATACCCAAGTCCCACAGGAGCCTTGTCCCACAGACAGTGGGTTAATCCATTCACTGGCTGTGCAAGACAACAATTATCTGGTTGACTTTCTTTTAACTGAATAATAATAATTGCTTACACTTATATAGCACTTTTCTGGACACTCCACTCAAAGCGCTTTACAGGTAATGGGGATCCCCTCCACCACCACCAATGTGCAACATCCACCTGGGTGATGCGAAGGCAGCCATAGTGCACCAGTACACTTCCCCACACACACCAGCTCTCAGTGGGGAGGAGAGCAGAGTGATGAAGCCAGTTCAGAGATGGGGATTATTAGGAGGCCATGATTGGTAATTTTGGCCAGGACACCGGAGTAACACCTCTACTCTTCTCAAGAAACACCCTGGGATGACCTTTAATGACCACAGAGAGCACCTTTCTACAGTACAGTTTCCCCTTCACTTATACTGGGGCATTAGAACCCACACAGACCGCAGGGTGATATGGCTGTATTTGTATTTTTGCCTTCTGCTTATAGAATGCAGCTCTCACCTTCACTGTTCTTCTGTCTCTCTGAGGTATTGCTCACAGAGCAGCAGATCACACAACACCCCAGGAACTGGTTGTCATTCTGGTTCCCACACAGGCCCTCAGCAACAACAGAAAATACCTGCACTTCACATAGTGTGCAATATCACTTGGCCCCCGATATTCCCTTACCTTTCTGGGAGCTGTAGTTTCAGACGGCACAGTCAAGGACTACAACTGAAGACTACAAGGGCATCCTACAAGGAGCCGAATCCCATCCTGTATCCTAGACAATAGTACACCCCTTCTGTTGCCTCCCACACTGTATTCTCTCCGAGTTAAAAGGAGACCAGGAGCACAGTTTCCCTCAATGCGCTCCACCTCAGTCTGCGCACCGCCAGAAAAACGCACAGCTTGTGATGGGTTTGAAGGTGCTGTTCCTAGGAGGGGAACAGTTTCCACACATGACCCTGACAGTGCACATTATGTAGTTTTAGTTTTTGACTATCATTGCGCTGTACTGTAGTACCAAGTACAGGTTTTCCATGGGAAAGGCGCACGTAAGGGATAGGATCTCACTTTGATGGTTTTCAGGCTGCATTTCCCCTCCAGCCGGTGCTGCAGCAGGGTCTCGATGAAGCGCACGTCCAGGAACGCCCACACTTTCAGGTAGGACAGTTTGCTGCACTGCAGGATCAGCTGCAGGAGCTCGTCATCCACAGACTCGTGGCTGTTATTGAAATCCAGGATCAGCTTCTGCAGAAAAGAGCGATGGAATCGGCCTCTTTAAGATAAGATCACTTCATTGGCCATATACAATTTCTTGCAATAGGAATTTGTCTTCTCACACACCCCAGCCTGCTCTCCATGAGACACACAGGCAGGGAGAGAGAAGCTGGGGGTCAGAGTGCATGGTTTATATGGCGCCCCTGGAGCAGTTGGGGTTAAGGGCCTTGCTCAGGGGCCCAACGGAGTAGGATTCCTCTGCCGGCCACGGGATACAAACCGGCAACCTTCCAGCCACAGGCGCAGACCCTTAGCCACAGAGAAACTGCTCCACCTTTTGGCTGATAGTGTGGCATGGTCTGGGTTAATATGACTGTAAATACACTGTACAGTTATAATCTATGAACTAATACCACTACCTGCATTGCAGTCTTCTAGATAACTGCTTGTTCTGCATGTTTAAAGGTTCTCCACAATAATACAATGTTTCAGGATTAAGGCACGTTCTAAAGTTGGGCTTTGATGGGCACGATTGGACAAGGTGGTACTTTATAGTATGTAACTGCAAGATCAGGAAACTAAGGGTGGTCTGTAGCCACACTGGGGCCAGAGAAGCTTTCCCATTCAAAGTGATAATCTGCTGCTCGCTTTCTCTTTAATTAAAAGATTTAAATCCTGAAACTAAAAT